CTTCGGCGGCGTCCCGCCCTGATACCTCCTCGCGCTCGCCGCGCTCTCGTTCACGATCGGCGCCGCGGCGCTCGCCGCGCGCGCGCGGGCCGGCGCCGCGAACGCGCCGCCCCTCGCGCGGTCGGACTGGGCGGCCTTCGCCCTCGGCGCCGTCGACACCGCGGCGAACGCGCTCTTCCTCTGTGACCGCGTGGGCCGCGGCGACGCCGCGCTCCTCGCGGCGGCCGCGCTGCTCGCGGTCGTCCACGCCCTCGCCAACGGCATGGCCCTCTTCGCCCTCGTCGCCGTGCCGCGCCGCGAGGCGGCGCTCGACCGGAACCGCTTCGCCGCGGGCGCGCCCGTCTTCGTCGCGCTGCTCGTCTTCGCGACGACGGGCAAGCTCGAGCTCGCGGCCCTGCTGCCCTGGACGCACCGGGCCGCCGAGGACATCCTGCTGCTGAAGCGGCGGGCGGACGGCGGCCTGGGCCGGCGCTTCGGGCCCTTCCCCGACGCGGCGCTGCTCCGGGCCGCGGCCGCGTCGACGGGCTTCGACGCGCTCCTCCAGCTCGCGCTCAAGGCCGCGGCCCTCGTCGCGAACCGGAGCGACGGCGTCGCGGCGCTCAACGCGGCGACGAACTTCTGCGTCGTCGTCGGCGTCTTCGTGGCGGGGCTGCTCGGCGGCTCGGGCGCGGCGGCGCCCGCGGACAGCGTCGCGCCCGACGACGAGCGCCTCGTCCTCGCCGCCGTGCCCGCCGTGCCCCTGGAGACGGACGTGACGAAGACCGTCATCGACTTCGACGAGGAGGAGCGCAAGATGGGCGGCGGCGACGGCGACGGCGCCATCGCGCTCGACGCGGCCGACGCGGCGTCGCCGGCGTCGCCGGGCGTCTTCGGCTGCGGCGCCGTCGACCTCGCCTGCGCCGCCGCGTGCGCCTACCCCGACGACGACGCCGAGGAGGCCAAGGCCGCGGGCGGGACCTCCGTCTTCCTCCGCAACGACGGCTCCCAGGTCACCATCAACAACCCGGGCGGCATCAACCTCTCGGACCTCACGATCCAGGAGGACGAGTCCGGCAACGTCAACGTGTTCCTGGGCGCCGGCGCCGACAGCGCCGCCGAGCTGACGCTGCCGAGTAAGCTGTAGTAGCGAGGGATCGTATCCACACGCAACTTGTTAAGGCCCGGCCAAGGGGTGCGGGTAGTTACGCTTCGACCAACGCGCGGGACTGCTCGAGGAACTCGGCGATCATCGACTTCATCGCGTGGTTCGGGATCAGGTCTGCGTTGCGCAGGGGCGCGTTCGTGACCGGCGACGTGTTCTTGCGCTCGAACCACAGCGCGATGGCGCACCGCTCGTACGTGTGGCCGTCCGCGGCGAAGACGGGGTCCTTCATGAGCTCCGTCGTGATGGGGCACGCGAAGTCCGGCACCTCGTCGCGGCGGATCCGCAGGCGCTCGAGCTCCGCGCGGTGGTCCGCGAGCTCCGCCTCGACGACGGCCTGGTGCCGCGCGATGTCGTCGAAGACGTCCTGCACCACGAGCTTCTTCGCCGACGCCTCGGACACCGCGCGCATGGCCTCGACGATGGAGCGGGCCGCGGCGAGGGGCAGCCCCATGTCCTCGACGAGGTCCTCGGTTGTGAGGAGCGGCAGCGCGTCCGCGTCGATCATATGGTCTGCGAAGATCGGCTCGAGAGCTGTGAGGTCGAGCGAGACGAGCAGCGCGCGGACCGTGGGGTCGAGCTCGGCGCCCTTGGTCTCCTCGAAGGCCTCGTCCGGCGAAGGCTCGGGCTCCGGCGCGGACTCCGGTTCGAGCTCCCGCGGCTCTGTTGACACCGAAGGCTCTGGCTCGGGCTCTGGCTCGGGATTGGGCTCCGGCTCGGGCTCCGCTTGCTCAGGCTCGGGCTCGGGCTCGGGCGCGGGCGCGGGCGCGGGCTTCGGTTCGACCAGTCTTTGTCGTCTGGCAGGGCGAGCGCTGCGACGACCCGGGCCTCGGGTGTCCTTTTTCCGTGTCTTTTCGGACTTTGCGCCTTGGATCATCAGTTCTCTTGCAACTTGTTCAGCCCGGGCCTCGGCCCGTGCGATACGCCAAGGGCGCGGCTCGAAGTCAAGGAAGTAAAGCAAAAAAGAAAAAACCATGACGATGAGGCGTAGGAGAAAAAAACCCATGACGATGTGCATGGCCACGAAGAGCGTCGTGATGATGTAGTAATCATCAGCAAAATGATGGTTAATGACGATGAGGACGCCGTCCGCGAGCGTCGTAATGATGCGTTGAATCGTCTCCTCAATGGACTCGCTGGACGTGTCGTAGCTGCGCAGGAGAAGCATGCGTAGCTTCGTTGCAATGGAATCGCTGTCGTAGCTGCGCAGGAGAAGCATGCGTATCTCGTCGCTCTCCGCTACGTCGAGCGCCGTCGTCCGCTTGAGCGTCGAGATCAAACGAGCGCCGTGGACCCGCAGCGCCTTCACGGCGTCGGCGTGGCCTCGTCGCGCGGCGTAGAACAATGCAGTTTCTCCATTGTCTGTACGAGCGTCGACGTCCGCGCCACCACGCACCAGCATCGGAACGATCATCGCTCTGCCATTGTAGGCGGCGATGTGGAGCGGCGTCGCGCCGTAAGGCAATGTCGCGCGGACGTTCGCACCGCGCGCCAAGAGTTTTCGAACGCCAGCTTCGTAGCCGATCTGGCACGCGAGGAGGAGCGGTGTGAAGCCGTCTAGGCGCGCTTCCACGGCGCCCTCAGCAAGCGCGATGTCTACCTTTCGACGCGTGGATTTCAGCTCTTCCGCAGAGAATTCTTCCGGTTTCGATGGTAACTCCGCAGACTCGCCTGCCGCGTCCAGAAGGTTGATGCGTTGAATCGTCTCTTCGATGGACTCACTGGACGTGTCGCGGCTGAGCAGAAGGTTGTAGTTCTCCTCGGTGGTCGCAACGCCGAGCGCCGTCGCCTCTCCCCAGGTAGGTAGAGCGCCGTGGGCAAGCAGCGTCTTCACGACGGCGACGTGTCCTCGCCCCGCGGCGTAGAAGAGCGGCGTAGGCATCACACCGTCCGAGGCATCGACGTCTGCGCCTTCGTTGAGCAGCGTCTCCACGACGGCGACGTGGCCTTTTTCAATAGCGAGGAAGAGCGGTGTAGGCTTCCCATCCTGCGAGCTGTCGATGTCCGCGCCTTTGTTGAGCAGCATCGACACGAGGTTCGGATGGCCCCAGTGGGACGCGACATGGAGCGCCGTGTAACCTCTTTGATCGCGCGCATGGACATCCGCATTCGCGTCCAGCAGCTTGCGCAGCAGGTCTTCGTGGCCGCACATACAGGCGATGTGAAGCGCCGGGTCGCCACCAGGTATCGGCTCATCGAGGCGACCGTGGTAGAGCGCGGCGGTGACTTTTTGGCGCAAGAACGAACACATATATTCAGGGGGCGCTTCCCAGCGCGCGGCGCCGCGGGCGACGAGCGCGGCGACGCACACGTGGAAAAGCCCTCGCATCGAATTCATTGCTCCCGCGTAAAGGGCGTCGAACACACGACGGTGAGCGCGCGGCCAAGGCCCCTCACGCCGACTGCGCCATCGTCCTCCCCGGAGGTCCGGGCTGGTCCAGGGCCGGTTCAAGATCGGCCTGCTGGCGCTGGCTCGCACGCTGGGCTGCCCAGCGCGGCCTTCCAGCGCGTCCGCTGCGCGATGGTGAACGCGAGCTCCAGCGCGCCGCGCGCGCTCGACGCCTCGCGGCCCGCCGCCGCGCCGCCGGCGGCGACCTTGGACCAGCTCGTGGCGATCCACGGCCGGAGCTACGTGGACCACCTCCGGTCGCCGGACGAGCTCCTCGCGGAGGCGCAGCTGCGCCACGCGAAGCCGTCGCCGGGCGAGCCCCACGGCCCCGTCGCCTGCGCCTACCTCGCGCGCGAGATCCACCGGCTCTGCGGCGCCGCCGTGCCGCGGCTGCGCTTCGCGGCCTTTTCGGAGGCGTTCGCGGAGCAGACGTACGTCGTCCTCGCCGCGGAGCGCGGCGACGCGGCCGGCCGCGACGCCGCGCTCGCCGCCTGCACGGCGGCGCTGGGCTGCGCCGCGTCGTCCGCGGGGTCGAGCTTCGCGTCGAAGCCCCTCGCCTGCCCGCGGCTCTCGGTCCGCGGCCGCGACGGCGCGCGCGACGCGCGGGCGCTGCCGCGCTGGGGCGACGACGGCCCGCTGCCCCTCGCGGCCGTGCTCGGCGGCGCCGTGCGGGGCCGCGCGCGCGTCGCGGCGGCGGACCTGCCCTTCCTCCTCGTTTTAGACGCCGGGGCGACGACGCTCGCGGTCGAGCTCGTCGACGCGCGGCGCGGGCCGGCGGGCCTCGTCGTCGGCGCGATGTACGCGGTCGTCGGGGAACGCCCCGGCTTCGCGGACCGCGAGGCGCTGGCCCAGCTCCTCGACGCGGCCAAGGCGCGGGAGCGGTGGCCCGCGCTGACGCTCGCGGTCCCGGAGGCGACGGTTTTGGACCTCGCGTCGCGCCTCGAGCGGTCGTCGCGCGAGCTCTCCGCGGCGGCGCACGTGGCGGCGCTCGAGGCCTTTTCGGCGCGCAACGCGCCGCCGGGAGGCGCCGACGCGCGCGCCGTCGCGTGTCTCGGCGCGCTGCGCGACGGCGTGCGCCACGGCGCGCTCGGCGACCTCGGCCCCGCGACGACGGCCGCGCCGCCGCCCGAGGCCGGCGGATTCCTGATCGCCCGCCAGCGCAAGGACCGGGGCGGCGCGCTCTTCCGCGCGGGCGACCTCGCCGCGGCCCAGCGGTGCTGGCGCGGCGCGCTGGAGATTCTGCGGGACGCGCGCGCGGACCCGGACCGCCTCCGGCCGGCGCTCCACGCGAACCTCGCCGAGCTCCTCCTGCGGCGGCGCAACTGGGCCGGCGCGGCGGCGCAGGCGACGGCGGCGCTCGCGGCGGACGCGCGCCACGTCAAGGCGCGCGTGCGGCGCTGCCGCGCGCGGCGGCGCCTCGGCGACGCGGCGGGCGCGCTCGACGACGCGAGGCGCGCCGTCGACGCGGCGGGCCACGACTTCACGCTCCGACGCGCGCTCGCGCCGCTCGTCGCCGCCTGCGAGCGCGGCGCCGCGGACGCGCCCGCGCGGGAAGAGGAGGCGCCCAAGGGGCTGCCCGCGGACCTCTACGCGGACAAGGAAGCGAAGCGGGAGGAGGAGGAGGACGACAAGGAGCCGGAGGCGACCGCGGAGGAGAAGGTCCAGCGGACCTTCGCGACGCTGGTGGAGGACGCGCTCAAGACGGGCACGGCGGAGGCCATGGCCGTCACGGAGGCGGACCTCACGGAGGAGGACTACGCGCGCTACTACCGCGACGCGGAGCGGGCGTTTCGCGAGAATTAAAATTGTGGGTGTGCTTAAACGTAGCCGGGCGGCTGTCGTCGCTTATACCCCTCACTTTCCCCACTTCTGCCACGGAGGGAGCGAAAGTATGCTCCACGGTATATATTCGACGACGACGTTGCATGTAAGTCGACGTCAATGTTGTCATTGTTGAGCCATCCTCGAGCGGCCGATCCGCGTCGCAGTGCGCGCAGCCTCGTCGCAGTGCTCGAGCGCTACTCTCACTCGCAGAGCGTCGCAGCCTCGTCGCAGCTCGCGTCGCAGTGCTCGAATTCTGCTCGCGTGCAAATCGCGTCGCATGACCGCTCGAACGGCGCTTCGCATGCCGCTGCGCTGGCTGCTGCTCGCCGCCTCGGCGCGCTGCCTCGTCGTGCCGCGCGCGCCACGCCCCGGCAATAAACTCCATGACAGCGTTGCGCCGCGCCCTTGCACCGCACTCCACGCCAAGGTCGTCGTCGCCGACGGGTTCACGGCGACGGCGAACGCGGGCTTCGCGAGCCTGCGCGACGCGTGGCTGCCGGCGGTCGGCGACGGCGACGAGCTCGAGGTCCACGACCGCACGGCTCCCGGCGACGTCGTGGCGGTCCTCGACGGCGCCGCCGTCGCCGTCGTCAACAAGGTGCGGATCACGGACGCCGTGCTCGCCGCATTGCCGGACCTGGGCCTCGTCTGCGTGACGGCGACGGGCGTCAACAACGTGGACCTCGACGCCTGCGCGCGGCGCGGCGTGCTCGTGAGCAACGTGCCGGCCTACTCGACGCCGTCCGTCGCGCAGTGGGTCGCCGCGTGCCTGCTCGACGCGGCCGTCGCGCTCCGGCCCCAGGCCGGCGCCGTCGCCGCCGGCGCCTGGGCCGCGAGCCCGGACTTTTGCGCCTTCCCGGAGCGGACCTTCGAGCTCCGCGGGCGGACCTTCGTCGCCGTCGGCAGGGGCGCCATCGGGGAAGCGGCGGGCGCCGTCGCCGAAGCGCTCGGCATGGCCGTCGTCTTCGCGCGCGCGCCCGGCCGCGGCGGCGACGGCGGCGAGCTCGCGCGGGCGCTCGCGACCGCGGACGTCGTCTCGCTGCACGTGCCGCTCGCGGACAACACGGCGCGGCTCGTCGACGGCCGCTTCCTCGCGGCGCTCAAGCCCGGGGCGATCCTCGTCAACTCCGCGCGCGGCGGCGTCGTCGACGAGGCCGCGCTGCTCGCCGCGCTCGACGAGGGGTCGTTGGAGCGCGCGTACCTCGACGTCCTCGACGACGAGCCGCCGTCGGACCCGGCGTCGACGTCGGCCCGCCTCGCCGCGCACCCGCGGGCTGTGGTCACGCCGCACACGGCCTGGGCGACGAACGAGGCGCGCCAGCGGCTCCGCGACGTCGCCTGCGGCAACGTCCGCGCGTTCCTCGCCGGGGAGCCGCTCCCGACGCCCGCGGCCTCCTAACGTGAAGCGTAGCACTTGGGATCGTGGAGCTGACCCGGTGGCACGCCCCTCCCCTGGCGTTCTCATGTCCCTCGCCTGGGGAAGGTGATGACCTCATGGCCGGGGGTAAGGGAGCGGCATGGTCTACTCGTGCCAGGATCGTGGAGCTGGCGAGAGTGTCTTACCCGCCGTGTTGCACTCGAGCGGGGCTCAGGAGAGGGTACTTAAAACGCGGATGGGGGCGGGACGGGCGGCGGGTGGGCGTCGGGAGGCGGGCGGCGTTGGTGCGTGGGGGCGTGCAACCGCCCCCAGGCTGCGCCGCGATGCCGACGGCGCCGGGCGGCCGTTCGGCGGGCGCGCCGCGCGCGCCGCCGTGCGGCCGCGTACGACCGCCGCCGCGCCGTCCCGGCGTCCCGGCCCTAGGACGTGTAGAAGCCGCCGAGGACGTTGCGGCTGATGCCGTGCGAATTTTGGTCCGGGTTCCGCTTGGGGAGGGCGACGCCGAGGAGCGGGTGGGACACGACGCGGAGGGACGCCTTCGACGGGCCGTCGGCGGACGGCTTGAAGGTCGTCGTGAACACCGGCAGCGCCTTGGTCATGGGCGTGTTGGCGGACGTGGGGCTCCGGGGCGCGGACTTGGCGCGGTCGCACTTGCTCGGGCGGAAGAAGTCCGTCGACTTGATGACGGGGCCCGCGGGCGGCAGCGTGTTCTCGAGGATGTGCCGCGGGACGAGGCCGTTCGTGATGTCCTGCTGCTTGAGCGTGCGGATCTGGGACGTGTGGAGCCGGTCGTAGGGGTCCGCCGTGTTGAGCCGCGCGACTTTGACGGTCTGGTTCGGCATGTGCCAGTGCTGCTGCGTCGGCTCGACGATGGGATTCGGAGAGGTGTCCTCGATGTCGCGGAACTTGGGCAGCATGGACAGCGGCACGAAGGTCGACTCGTCGTTGATGCCCTGGCCGTAGAGGCTCCGCGACCCGCCGCTCTTGCTCGACCGCGCCGTCATGCACCGCCCGGGCGGCGACGCGTACCTACACAGTTCCCACTTCAAGGGCGCTCTCGAGCGGCGCGCGGGTCCGCGGGGCGGGCGGCGGCGTAGGATGGTGCGTCGGCGGCGGACGCGGGAACCGCACGCGAGCGGGTCGCCGACGCCCTTCGGGGAGATCATCGCGGCCGCTGCCCGGTCGACCGCGGGGGCGTCACAGGCTGTGGTTTTACGCCGGAGAGCGTCGAGCGCTTTTTGGCGTTTCTAGTGTTATATCCGGGGCTGTTGATGGCATCTTTGGCCTTTGGAATCCACTCATCGAAGCGCATCCTCTGCGCCGACCTGCTCGAACAACAAATCCCGTCCCGGGCGTCCCAGGCCACATCGTGCCTGCTCGAATCCCGTCCCACCTGCTCGAACAACTCCCGGCCGCCGACCCTCGGGGCGCGGCAACCGGGTCCACCCATAATCATGGCCGAGGGCGGCGGCCTGCGCCGCGGCAAGTGGACGGTCGAGGAGGAGCGCTACGTCGAGCGCGTCATCCGCGATTTCAACAATGGCCTGCTCCACGCGGCGCCCGGGACGACGCTGCGCAACTACCTCAGCGAGAAGCTCAACTGCGACCCCATGCGCATCACGAAGAAGTTTACCGGCGACGCGTCCATCGGCAAGCGCGTCTACCACCCGCGCGAGAACGCGCCCGAGCCCGCGGTCGAGCGCGCGCGCCGCGAGGTGCGACGACCCCGCCCCGCCCGCCCCGCCGCCGCCCCAGTTTTCCACGCCGTAGGTGGCGGAGCTCGAGGCCGCGTGGCGGTCCAAGCTGCAGTCGCAGGCGCGCGAGTCCGCCGCGTCGGAGCGGCGCCGCGGCCGCCACGACGACTCCGACAGCGACTCGACGCGCGATGTCGGCGAGGCGGCGACGCGCCGCATCCACGCCTGGCTCCGCCGCGCGCGCCGCGCGCTCAAGGACGCGGCGTCGCTCGGCGACGTCGACGACATCGTCCGCGAGGGCGAGGCGCTGCGCACGTCCGTGTCCGACGCGGCGTCGGCCGCGGCCGCGAGCCGCCGCGCGCGCCGCGCGCGGTCCACCTGCACGTCCTCCGACGAGGAGGCGACGTCGCTCCTCGTCGACTTCCTCCGCTCGGCGCAGCGCCAGCGCACCGTGTCCTTCGCGGACGAATCCGCGCCGCGCGAGCCCGCGCGCGCGTCGAAGCGCCGGAGGCGCGACGGCGACAGCGACGACGACAGCGACGACCCCGTGCACGACTCATCATAAGAGCGAGGCTTAGTCCGGCCGCCGCGCCGCGAGCGCCGCCTCGAGCGTCGCGATGCGCGCCTCGAGGACGTCCTCCGCCTCGGACTCGCGCCGGTGCTGGTCGTAGAGCACGCCCAGGCCCAACGTCACGACGGTCTGCGACGCGGGCGAAAGCGTGCGGGAGCGCGCGAGAGCGCGCGAGCGGACGCGGGAGGCGCCGACCGCCTCGGCGAGCAGCTCCGCGCCAATTTTCGTCGCCGCGCGCTCCGAGAGCGGCTCCTTCGCGGCGAGCGGCTCGTCCGCAAACAAGCTCACGCGGTGCGTCGAGGTCAAGGCATTGTAGCGGCGCGCCACGCTCACGCAGAACTTCGAGAAGCCCGGCGACCGCACGGCCACGCGCTCCAGGGATGCAGCGATCGGATCCGCGGCGCGTTCCACTGCGAACCAGAGCAGCTTCACCGTGGCCATCAATTCGTGCACGACGAACGCGTCTGCCGCAGTGGTGCGCGCGCAGCCAAGCCTTCCCGAGAGACGCTCAAGGAGCCGCAGGTGAAGGCAATGAAGGCTGAACCAGCAGCAAATGCCAAAAAAAAATTAGCTTATGGAGCCCACTTTGCAGCAGCCCAGATGAACCGGCCAGCGCAAAAGCCGCGCGGCGTCAAATGCGCGTGGATCCTCTGGACGGCCTGCAGCATGGGCATCGGCGCGCTCATCAACAACTCGTTGAATTTGTTCCAATCGACGGCGCTCCAGCCGACGCCGGACGCACCGGCCGGCGCGCCGCCGGTCGCGCCGTGCCGGAAGGACGGCTACGGGACGTGCGTCGACGCGGGCTGCGACCGCTGGTACGACGGCTGTAACCACTGCCGCGTCGGCGCCGACGGCGCGCTCGCGTGCACGCGAAAGGGCTGCCCTTTGTTCGGGGGCCGCCCCGCCGGGCGGGCCCGCTGCGTCGACGGCGCGCAGCCCACGGCCGCGCCGTCGCCGCGGCCCTCGCCGCGGCCGTCGCCGGCGCCGGCGCCGGCGCCGACGCCGCGACCCTCGCCGCGGCCCTCGCCCGCGCCCGCGCCCGCGCCGTCGCCGCGGCCGTCGCGCGCGCCGACGCCGCGACCCGCGAAACAAGCCCTGAACGCGACGCGCGTCGTCGCCGTCCGCCCCGCCGCGGCCTTCGCCGCGCCCGGCGCGACGTGCGGCCGCGGCGCGCCCGCCGCCGAACTCCGGGTTTTAGTGACGGGCCTCTCGCGGTCGGGGAGCACGTGGCGGTCTGCGTGCGAATCGAATCTTCAAATCGACTTCCATGTGAGCGCATTTGAATGTACGAGCGCTTCCACCGTGCTTCGAGAACCTGATGAGAGCCATCGATCCGTCCAAAAATCAGCCGAATCGACTTCGATGTGACCGAGCTCGAGAATGTCACAGTTTGGTCGGGACGTCCCGAACCGGCGGTTGATGTGCGCGCAGGTGGCAGTTCAACGCGCTCAAGGAGATCCTCAAAGCCGCGACGTCGCTGGACGTGAAGACGGCGCACAGCGACGGCGACAGCGCCGACTTCGACGCCTGCCTCGCGGCGCCGCCGTGCCTGCTGAAGACGCACGCGTTCGTGCCGCGACTCCTCCCGCTCGTTAACGCGGCGCGCGGCCCGCGCCGAAACCGCCGGAACCGCCGGAACGCCAACCCTACGCAGGTCTTCACGAGCCACCGGGACCTGCGGGACGTGCTGCTGAGCAGCATGCAGATGTTCGGGAGCTGCCTCGGCTTCGGCCCCGAGGGCCTCCACAGCCGCGACGCGGCCGGCTCCGCCGCGGCGCACGACGTCGCGCCGCGGTTCCAGCAGTACGCCAAGTGGGTGCCCTTCGCCTGCTACGACATGGCCTACGAGCGCATGTACGGCGACCGACCGGGCGAGGTCGACCGCCTCGCGGCCGCGCTCGGCGTCGGTGGCTTCGGCGGCGCGGCCGCGGTCGTCGACGCCGTCGAGGCCCTCGCGGCGCAGAGCGCCGCGGCGACGGCGCCGGACCCGGCCAACGGCACGGGGCCCCTGGAGCACTGGGACGCGGCGAGCGGCTTCGCCGCGCACCACGTCCACGAGTCGACGTCCGCGCCCGGCGCGTTCGCGCGCGCTAGGACGCTCGTCCACGTCGGGCTCCACCTGCCGGGCTGCAACCTGCCCGAGTCCTTCGAGCAGCTGCGCGTCGGCTTCGGGGACTGGCAGGTGGCCCGGGGCTACGACGGCGCGAGCGCCGGGAACGCGTTCGTCGACTCGCTGCCCGAGCGCGCGGCCCTCGCGGGCGAGGGCGCACCGGCGAGGGTCTTCCCGCGCGTGGCCCACGTCGTCTTCGCCGGCGACGACGCCACGGTCGACGCCACGCTCGACGCCGCGGACGCCGCGCGGGCCGCGGCGCCCTGGCTCGATGTCGTCGTCGTCGACGCGCGGCGCGACCGCGGCGCCGGCGCGGCCGCGGCCGCGCGGGACAAACGCTTCGACTTTTCCTGCGCCGGGCCGGACCCGGGCGCCGCGGGCCACGTGGCGACCTGCGGCCTCGAGGTCGGCGCGGACTACGTGCTGCTCGCCCGCGCGGCGCCGCGGCCCGGCCTGTACGCGAAGCTGCGCGAAGTCGCGACGGACGAGCGGCGGCCCCTCGCGTCCGCGTTCCTCTTCGCCGGGCCGGCGCCGGCGGCGAATCCGCGCTTCATGACGCGGCGCGGCGGCGCCGCCGAGGCGCACGTCGAGGCGCCGCCGCCCGCGGACGCCGTCGCGGTGCCCGCGCGGTGGGCGCGCGGCCTCGCCGCGGGCGCCGCGCGCGTCGACGGCGGCGCCTGGGCCGCGGCCCTGGCGACGGCGAGCGCCCACTTCGGCCGCGCCGTCGTGGTCGACGCGGCGGCGGACCTCGACGCGGCGCCGGCGCCGGCGCCGGCCGCGGCACCGGCCGCGGACCGCGTCGCGGCGGCCGCGGCCGCGCTCGCGTCCGCGTCCGCGCTCGTCGGCCTGCCCGCCTTCGAGCGCTGCTGCTGCGCGTTGGCGAACCCGGACGCCGCCGACGACGGCGCCGCGGACGGCGAACCGCCGGCCGAGTGGCTCTGGGGCGACGGCCCGGGCGACGTCGCGCTCGCGCGGTGCGGCCTCCTGCGCCACCTGCCGCTCTTCCTCCGGCGCGGCGCGGCGCCGCGGGCGACCTTCGCGGCCCCGCAGCAGACGGCGGCGGCCGTCGTCGAGGGCTGGTGCGCCGACGCCGCCCGGGCCGCCGTCTCCGGCGCCGCGCCGCGCAACGGCACGGCGCCGCGGCGCGCGCGGCGCGACGCGCGCCGGGCCCCGACGGCCGCGGACGCCTGCGACGCCGTCGCGCCGCCGGCGACGCGCAGCGTTGGCTGCGCGCGGGCGGCGACGTCCCTCGGCGGGCCGCCGGGCGGCCGCGGCGCCGCGGCCGCGCCCCGGGAGGTGCTCTACGTCCGCGACGCGCCGCTCCGCGACGTCGAGGGCGCGGACGGGCGCGCGCTGCGCCTCGTCGAGTGGCTCTGCGGCGCGGGCCACGAGGTCACGCTCGTGTCGCGGGGCCACGCGAAGGGGTACCGGGAGAGCGGCGCGGCGCCGGCGCCCGCGTCCGGTCGCATCTTCCTGCCGCGGACCAAGTCGAGCCGGGCGTGCTCCGTCGCCGTCAAGAGCGACGACGAGCTGCTGGGCCGCGTGCTCACGTCGTCGTTCCTCGCGGCGAAGCAGTTCGACCTCGCGCTGCTGGAGGTGAACTTCGACGAGCGGTTCGGCGACGAGCCCGCGGCGCGCGTCGCGCTGCGCCGGTTCCGCGACGCGCGGACGCCGCCGCGGCGCGTCGCCGTCGTGTCCCACGCGCTGCACTACCACGCCCTGGCCGAGCTCGGCCGCGGCGACGACCAGGGCACGCGCCGCGCGGCCGCGGCCTACGGCCACGAGCGGCTCTTGTACGCGAGCGCGCGCGTCGACGCGGTCCTCGCGCCGACGGAGGCGCTCGCCGCGTCCTTCGCGCGGCTCCAGGCGTCGGCGGCGAGGGCCGGCGCGACGCACGCGCCGCCGGCCATCGCCGTCGCCGCCCACAAGCCCGCCGTCGCGACGGCGGCGCTCGTCGCGGGGCCCGACGCGGGCGCGCACGTCGCGTCCGCGTCGAACCGGTCGACGGCGCTCTACGTCGCCGCCCACTCGCCGGCGACCGCCCGGGACCTCGCCTGGCTCTTGGAGGCCTGGCCCCGCGCGCGGCGCGGCTGCGCGGCGCTGGAAACGGCGACGCTCGTCGTCGCGGGCGCGGACGCGTGGCGCGGCGCCGTCGACGCGCACTGCGCGCGCGAGCGCGCGGCGTCCGCCGCCGACGACGACGACGCGCCGGCGAGCCTCGAGGCCGCGGCGAAGCTCCGGCGGGCCGACGCCGCGGCGCCCAAAGCCGCCGGGGGCTGCTCCGCGGCCTGGGCGCCGCTCGCGGCCGCGGCGGCGCCCGCGGCCGACGCGCCGGCGCCGCCGTCGGCGCTGCTCGACGAGCGCGCGGCGCTCGGGGCGCTCGCGCGGGCCGCGCGCGTCGTCCTGGCGCCCGGGGCGTCGCCCGCGGAGACGGCGTCGACGGCCTGCTTTTTAGCGATCGAGCACGGGCTGCCCGTCGTCGCGCCTTCCAACGGCACCTGCGGCGGCCTCACGCTCGCCGGCGGCGCCACGGTCGTCGCGACGGGCAACGCCGCGTCGCCCGTCGTGCCCTACGGCGACTTTGGGGCCGCCGTCGCGGACGCGTTCTGCGACGGGAGCGCGTGGGCGACGCGCGCGCACGCGGCGCTCGAGCTCGGCCTGCTGCTGTCGTCGCACGCGGACTGGGCCGACGACCCGCGGCTCCGGGGCCTGCTCACGGGGGACGCGGGCGCGGACTGCGGCCGCGGCGCGCGCGGGACGCGGGGCCGCCGCGACGCCGCGCTCGACGCGTCCCTGCTCGACGCGCTCCGCCTCGCGGTGCGCCTCGACGACGCGGGCGCGCCCTGGGGCGAGGCGTAGGATCCCCTAGCGCGGCCCTTTAATGCCCACTACGACCTGGTGGAAGGGCGCGAGGAGGTCCATGGTGACGATGCGGTAGTTGAGGCACTCGAAGAGCTGGCCGAGGACGTGGAAATCGAAGACGTGCCAGTGGAGCATCTCCTTGCCCTCGGGCGACGCCACCGTGCGCCGCCGCAGGTCCTCGGACGAGGAGCCGGGCTCGAAGCCCCAGTCCATGGTCAGGTCCTGTGTGCAAATCAACCAGTGAGCTGGGACGTCGGGGCCAAACTTCAAACCTCTCTAGCTCGGTCAAATCGACGTCGATTCGGCTGATTTTTGAACGGATCGATTCCTCTCCTCGAGTTCTCGAGGCACAACAGAACAGATTGCGTCGAAACGTTCGCATACGCTCACATTGAAGTCGGATTGAAGATTTGGTTTGCACGCAGGTCAGGTCGATGCTCCGGACCGTCTGCTCGAAGTCGACGAGGAGCGGCGCGTCGTCGCCGGCCCGCGCCGCGCGCACGTGCTTCTGCGCGAGCTGCTCGAGCGTGTGCGGCGCGCGGTAGCGGTCGAAGGTGTTGTCCTTCCAGGGCAGGATGAGGAGGAGCGCGGCGCCCTCGTCGAGCACGCGGTCCCACTTCAGCAGCGCGCCGAGCGGGTCCTGGAAGTGCTCCAGGACGTGGGACGCGAGGATGGCGTCGTAGGCGCCGCGTGCCACGGACGCCGTGAGGTCGCTCGCGTCGCCGACGAGCGTGCGGCCGATCGGCGCGCCGCCGTCCGGCGCGAAGTCGCCGCCGTCGACGAGCTCGAAGCGTTTGTGCGTCGGGTCCGGGAACTGGGCCAGGTTGTCGCAGGACGCCACGAGCTCGTAGACGTGCGCGAGCTCCGGCGTCGGGCCGCCGATCTCCAGCGCGCGCCGCCCGGCGAGCGCGGCGACGACGGCGTCGCCGTCCTTGAGCTGGCGCCGGGGCTGCCCGGCGAGGAAATCCTCGCCCAGGTCCTCGAGCGTCGGCGCGAAGCTCGCGTTGAGGCAGACGTCGCGCAGCGACGTGCCCGCGACGCGCGCGGCCACGAGGAGCAGGGACCGGAGCCGCATCAATGGGGTGTCCTGCCTTCCATCGCGCCGCGCCGACCGCTGATGTCGATGTTGCGGGGCAGCGTCTGTGCATCGTGTGCTCGGCCAATCGTGGGCCGCAGTGGCCAGCGAGTGGCGCATAGAGCTAGACAACTTCGTCGGCGGAGCGCGGCGCGCGCCGCCAGCGCCAGCGCCACCATGCCCTACGCCGTGCCGGTGAAGGTCGCCGCGAAGACGAACATCATCCTGCGATTGGTGGAGGCCGACGCCGACGGCGTCGACGAGGAGTCCCACGCGACGAAGCTCCAGCTCACGAAGGCGAAGCTGGGCACGAAGCTCCTGGACGTGATGGAGCGCTTCGCGCGCCACCACAACCGGCGCTGCGCCGAGGGCGAGCGCGTCGAGGCGTCGCGGCTCGACGCGAGCGACCGCGAGGGCCCGCTCGACGTCCAGGTGCCCGTCGGCAACCTGCTAAACCCCCTCGATAGCAGCGAGCAGACGCTCGACATCACGCTGCGGCGCGCCCAGACCGACGAGGAGATCGCGCGCGAGGCGCCCGCGGTCGCGGCGGCGGCGGCGGAGACGCGCGAGGCCGCGGCGCCCGCGGCCGCGGCCGCCGGCAAGGGCGACGACAACCTGCCCGCGACGGCGCAGGACCCGTCGGAGTTCCAGCCGTCGCCGACCTTCGAGGGCTACCGGCCGGGCATGGTCTTCAAGCGGGGCTTCTTCGGCCAGGGCTACTACAAGGACAAGCTCCTGACGGACATCGAGACGAAGAAGGCGGAGCAGGCGGAGGACGCGGCGCTCTACGACGCGGCGGCCGCCTACGACGGCCCGCGCGAGGGCTTCGTGTTCACGACGCGCGAGCTCGGCACGGGCTACTACAAGGACCGGCCGCCGCCCATGTTCGACCCGAACGCCGTCGACCTCGTCGCGCGCGGCGCGATCGTGCTCCGGGGCTACGACCTGCCGCCGCCGAACGGCATGCTCTTCAGCAAGCACGAGTTCGACCAGATCCGCATCGGCGCGTCGCCGGACACGGTCCTCGTCATCTTCTTCGAGAAGTGCGCCGAGGACGGCGGCGGCTCGGCGAAGGTTGCGCCGCAATACAAGAAGATGGCGAACCAGTTCTGGCCCAAGGCCGTGCTCATGCGCGCCGACGTCGACGAGGCCAAGGATCTAGCCATGGCCTGCTCCGTGACGTCCGCGCCGACCTTCATCTTCTTCAAGAACGCGAAGCCCGTGGACAAGTGCAAGGGCACGTGCGAGATGACCATCAACGTGAAGATCGTCAAGGCGCTGAAGCTCGGCGTCGTCAAGCGCAAGCACCAGTGGGGCGACGGGCTCCTCAAGGGCAAGTAGGCTAACACAGTTTTGGACGGGAGGGGCGTTTTTACGCGGAAGGGGACTTCCGGCGCGCGCGCGCGGCCGGCGGTCCGCCGCCGCGCGGCGGTCACAAGCCGCCGACGCGCGACGCCGCCTCCATGCCGGGGCAGCAGCGCGCCTCGCCGGCGCCGGGGCACCCGCGGCCGCCGCGGCACCACGGCGGCACGCGCGGCTCGGACGCGAGCGCGTCGAACTCGCGCTGCACCTCGAGCGCGAGGCGCCGCGCGTGCGTCACGGGCCGCCCGGGCGCGTCGCGGCGGCCGCGGCGCGGCGTCGCGTCGTCGTCGCGCACCAAGGGGGAGTCGACTTCGGGCGAGTAGACTTGCGACCGCAGAATCGAATCGAGGGACGCGACGGAGCTCGGCGAGAAGTCGCCCTCGGAGAGCGCGTAGCCGTCGTCCGACATGGTACCGTGCGGGTCGTGGCTGGCGCTGGTTGCTGTCGGGTGGGTGGGTGCAGCGCTGTCGAAGCGCGTCCAGCTCACTTGCTATGAAAGTTTGAGGAGAGTGTTCTGGCATCCGGGGAGCATCCGGGGCTGCAAGGGAAGCCTGGATGTGCAAAACGCAAGATGAAGTTCTTACAGACTTTCTTACAGGCCGCCGCTGGGGAGGTCGTCCTGCCACTTGGGCCACGTGCGCTCCTTGACGGGCGCCGCGAACCGCCGCAGCGCCGCGTCGGCGCGCGCGACGAGCCAGACCGCGTTGTCGACGTTCTTGTTGTAGGAGTTGCGCGCGGCGACGTGGGCGTGGGCCCGGAGGTTCGCGGGCGACGCGTCGATGCGCGGCCACTGGTAGGCGAAGACGAGCCGCGCGATGTCGACGACGCCCGCGTCGAACTGCTCGTCGAAGCCCTCGAGGATTTTCGCGGCGTCGTCCGCGGCGCGGCCCGCGCCGACCAAAGCCTCTCGCAACGCCGCCTTGTACGCGCCCACCAGCGCCGCGTCGCCCCCGTCGAGGAGATCGCCGCCGTCGACGGCGCAGCACACGAAGTGCGCGAGGTCCGTCGCCGCGAGGCCCCAGCCCACGAACTGGAAGTCGATGAGCGCGACCTCGTCGTCGCTCACGAAGACGTTCGCGGCCTTGAGGTCGCCGTGGATCAGCGTCCGCCCCGGCGCGTCCGCCGGCGGGTGCGCCCGGGCCGCGGCGGCCACCGCGGCGGCCTCGAGGCGCGCGCCGAGCGTCGGCAGGTCGACGCCGTCCAGCGCGGCCGCGGCGGCGAACTCCGCGCCGAAGCTCGCGAGGAGCCGGGGCCAGGCGCTCGCGATCGCCGCGAACTGGTCCGGCGCGTACTCCGGGAGCCAGTGGCCGCCGCGGGGCCAGACGTCCCCCGCGGAGCTCGCGTCCGCGCCCCAGAAGCGCGCGTGGAACGCCGCGAGCGCCCGAACGGTCCGGCGCGCGTCGTCGCCCGCGAGCAGGTTCCGCTGGCGCCAGCCGTCCTCGGGCGCGAAATCCCTCAAATAGAGCGCGAAGCGCGAGTCGATGGGGTGGGCCGCGTCGGGCACCTGCGTCGACGCGAGCGCCGCGGGCAGGCGCACGCCCTCGAAGGACGACGCGGCGGCCGACGCGAGGAACGCCGCTTCCACGCGGAACGACTCGACGTCGCGCAGGAGCTTCGCGGGTTGCGTCGTTTGCTTCTTCACGGCGGCGGGCAGCTCGGCCATGACGACGCGCTTGTAGAAGACCGAACCTTCTCCGCCGTCGGCCCAGGTCAGGCGCAGGCGGCACCCGTTCGAGAGCGCGCCGCGCGCGGCCTCGCGCTCCGGCGCGCGGAACGACGCGAGCGTCCGCCCGGGGAACAGCGCCTCGAGGTCCGCGGGCGCGAGGGGCGCTCCGGCGACGTCCCGCGCGACGTCGGCCGCGTGGTCGCCGCCCGCGACGGGGCCCGGGAGCAGCGATAGAGCTTCGGGCGCCGCGCGCATCGCCGCGCAGACCGCGTCGTGCGCCGCCGCGCCCCGCGGCGACGACGCGACGACGCCGAGCGCGTTGCTCGCGTCCCCGCCGTAGACGAGGGGCGCGCCGAAGTAGTCCGTGACTTTGCCGCCGACGCTCGCCAGGACGGGGTCGCCCGCGCACCTGTGTCGAATTCAACCACTGGTTTGGGTGGTCCTGACCAAACTTCAGAATTCTCTAGCTCGGTCAAATCGAAGTCGATTCGGCTGATTTTTGGACGAATCGATTGCTCTCGTCGAGTTCTCGAAGCACAGCCGAAGAGCTTGCGTCGAAACTGTCGCATACGCTCACATTGAAGTCGGGTTGAAGATTTGAATTCCACACAGCCGCGCACGTGTCCCAGGAGCACGTCTTCCGGTGGAGCACGGCCAGATCCGCGCGGCCCTCGGCGACCGCGAGGAGCTTGTGGCCCGTCGCGCCGGCGACGGTTCGGCTCGCGCCGGCCGCGGCCGCGGCGTCGAGCGCGACCGCGAGCAGCGCGTCGTCGCTGTCGCCGCTCACGACGACGACGCCGCGGCGGTCGGCCGCCGCCCGGAGCCCGCCCGCGGCGCCGCGCAGCGCGAAGACGACGCTTTCGTCCGAAAAGGGCCGGCCGACGGCGCCGCCCGCGGGCCGGCCGCGCACGGCGACGCCGACGAGCGACTGCACCTTGTCGAGCCGGCCCTCGACGAACTCGCGCGTGCCGTCGAGCGGGTCGACGTAGACGATGACGTCGTCGAGGTCCGCGCGCTCGTCGGGCAGCGCGCCGCAGAGGTCCGTGCGCAGCGGCGTCGCGAGCTCGGCGTCGCCGTCGCCGACCGCGCCGTCGTCCTCCTCGCCCACGACGCGGAGCCCGGGCCACGCGCGCCGCAGCGACCCGACGATGGCGGCCTGCGCGGCCACGTCCGCCGCCGTCAGCGCCGACCGCGCGTCGCCGGCGATCTTCAGCTGCGCGCCGAGGTCGCCGCTCTGCTGCACGTCGCGGATGCGCGCGCAGCCGCGGCCGCAGGCGTCGACGCACGTGCTCACGAGCTCGCGCAGCGCCACGGTCCGCGACAGCGCGTTGGCGCACGCCGCCATCGTGAGAGCGGCACAGAGCGCTCGACGCATGCACGACCAAGTTCTACCGTGTTGCGACGGCGCGCAGAGTTGCACGCGGCGCGGCGCGACGGCAGCAGAGGACGAAGCTCGCAGTCTATTATAAATTTACCTCAACTTGAGGCTCAAGGTGCTCGCTTAATTAACATCAGCTCTTCCATATATATATGCGTGAGTTGTGCGTGCCGGTTCCCCCGCCGTACGGAAATTAAATGGCTGTCGTCGCGCGAGCGGTGCAGAGGGAAGCATTGACACGGGAATGAGTGGCTCAGCTCGCGCGAGCGCGCCCGAAGGGCGCGCTCTCGCCGCGCCGCAGGCAAGCCCCCCCGGCAGGGGCAAGATGCCGTAGGCGTCTTGTGCCAAAGCATGTGCTGCTTTGAGATGCTCGCAGCGGGCTCGCCATAGCCGAGTTTGCAGCCGCAAAACACCCATGCGAGTCGCGCGGACAGCCGTGCGCGTTTCGGCCCTGATTCATGCGAGCTGGGCCTTCACCGCGCCGTCGAATCGGCGCCTGCTGGCCGCGGCACCGATGATGACGGCCGCCGGCGCACCCGCCGCTGGCGCGTCCGCCGCTGGCGCGCCCGCCACCTACAGCGCGCCGACGACGTACACGCTCAAGCGGCGCAACCCCTACGACTGCCACGTCTACTACCGGCTCGACGACGGATCGCGCGACGAGGCGTTCGCGCTCCGCGAGGCGATGCGGTCCGCGTTCCCCTGGATGCGGTTCCACCGGCCCTTCGACCGGCCCATCGGCCCGCACCCGCTGCCCATGTGGGAGGCCGACTTCGCGAGCTACGAGCATCGCGACCGGTGGCCCGACGTCGTCGCGTGGCTCGACGCGCACCGCGGGCGCCTCTCCGTCCTCGTGCACCCGCACTCGACGGACGGCGACTACGCGGACCACACCGCGCACGCGTTCTGGGCCGGCGACGTCCTACCGCTGCGCATGCGCCCCCCGGCCTAAGCACAGCACAGGGGCTTTACCGCGAGCTCATCAGTCAGTAGGTCTCGGGCTTGTAGGACTGGGACTTGCCGGCGGAGAAGGCGAAGTGGTTCGTCTGCTTGCGCGCGCGCTTGCCCGGCCGCGGCGCGGGCGTCTCGGCGGCGACCTTCTGCTTCCGCGGCCGCGGCACCTTGACCCGCTCCGGCGCCGGGTCGACGTGGACGGGCTTGCCCGCCTCCTTGGCGAGGCGCTTCTCGCGCGCGCGCCGCGCCTCCTCCTGGTCGTAGATCGCGCGGCCCGGGTTCCGCGGGTCCGGCTCGTAGATGCGGTCGCCGCCGATCGTGACGTCGCGCTTCGCCCAGATGAGGCGCACCTCGGAAGGCCCGCGGGGCGACACGAGGAAGACGCCGGGCCACTTGGCGCGGAGGTGCTTGATGTTCTGCGCCTCGCGCTTCGAGTTGCGGATCGCGACGGCGCCGCCGGCGTTCACGTAGTGCTCCGCGAGGATGAGGAGCCGGTTGCAGCGCGCGACGCGGCCGAACTCGTAGATGTGCTGGCACGTGAAGTCGTAGTCCTCCTTGAGCGTCATGGCCTCGTCCCAGCGGAGCTGCGACGACGGCTGCACGACGACGAAGTCGCCGACGACGAAGTGGGACGCGGCGACGACGGGGCCGCCGCAGGCCTGGCCCGGGTTGCCGCAGGGGTAGGTGCCGCCGAGCTTGGAGTTGGTGGCTAACGACTGGGCGTCGATGTAGGCCGCGCAGGCCTTGAGGGACGCGACGGCGATGGTGGCCTGCTTCGCGCGGCCGTTGGCGTCCTGGATGCTCGAGGGCTTCACCCAGGCGGCCGTGTCGTGCTTGGACGAGACGAAGGACAGCGACTTGATGTCGTCGCTGATCTGGACGCAGACCTTGTTTGCCGCTTTCGCGAGGTCCAGGGCCTTGTTGCGCGACGCGCAGAGGCCGCCGCCGACGACGACCTTGGCCGCGCCGGAGGCCTCGTAGGCCTCCTTGTCGCCGTCGCCGACGATCCAGGTGACGTCGCAGCCGGCGAGCTTCGACTCCATGGCGACGACGTTCGCCGGCCGCTTGCAGGAGATGATGGCGAAGAAGAAGTCGCCGACGGGCCGGAAGGCGCTCGGCGCCGCCTTGGCGAGCAGCGCGTCGCCGGCCGACGTCTCGGCGGCGTAGGCCTCGGCGAGCTCGGCGATGCGCTCCGCGGCGGGGCGCGCGTCTTCGTCGGAGTCGGAGTCGCTCATTGTTGTTTTGTTGGTGTTGAGTGAGTGTGGTGGCGGGCACGCGACGACGAGTGAGTGTGGCGGCGGGCACGCGACGACGAGCTTGGCGCGCTCTCTCAAATCTGCGAGAGGCTCTCCGAGAGGTAAAGGTGCTGTTCAATTGAAGGGAGTTTCCTGAGCTTGGGGATTGCTCAAGATGGAGAAGAAATACGCGTGAAGCCCGTCAGGAGACGCAGCCCCTCAAAAAATGGACGAGGCCGCGGCGGCCTACCGGCGGTTCCAGGAGGAGGAGCACACGCGGCGCGTCCTGGCGCAGATCTCGGAGCGGCCCTGCGGCATGACTAGGACGCGGACCTTCGAGGAGGCGCGCGAGCGGTGGCGCGCGGCCGACGGCCGCCGCGCGCGGGCGCAGTGCGCGCGCTGGGACGACGCCGAGGAGCGGAGCCAGAACCGGCACGTGCTGTCGCTGTCGCGCATCCGCCGCGAGGAGGTCGCGCTGATGAGGGAGGAGACGCGGGCGCGCGACGCGCACCGGGACCAGGTCCGCGAGTGGCAGGAGCAAGCGAGGGAGCGCGACGAGCGGCGCAAGGCTCGCGCGAGGGAGATCGAGGCGGGCCTGTCGCAGATCCGCGAGGCGACGCGGTGGAGCATCCGGCGCGCGACCGAGGCGCCGCCGCGGAACCCTCGTCCGCCGGCGGACGAGGAGTGCGCGATCTGCCTCTCGCGGCTGCCCGACGACGCGCTCGAGACGCCCTGCGGCCACAGCTTCTGCGCGACGTGCCTCGAGGCGTCCGTGAAGACGTCGCCGAGCTGCCCGCTCTGCCGGGCGACGCTGCACCGGGCCTACGTCGAGGCCCAGGGCTGGGCCTACCCCGCCGACGACCCGGCGCCCCGGTCGCTCCCCGCCGTCGTCGACAACCCCCCGCCGCGCCGCGCGCCGAACATCGTGCGCGTCGGCGCGGCGCGCGGGCCCGCGTCGACGACGTTCTACGCGCTGCCCGACTCGCGCTGCGCGGCGCGCGTCGCCGGTCTCCTGCGCGAGGTCGTCTTCGAGCGCGAGGACGGGACCGTCGAGGCGCGCGCGGACCCGCCCTACGAGGTCAACGTCGGCCCGGGCGACGTCGCCGTCGTCGTCGGGCTCCACCTCGCCGAGGGCGGCGACCCCATCTTCGTCCCGCTCCGGTCGACGTCCGCCGCCGTCGTCGTCGAGCTCGCCGACGGCGGACGGCAGGAGACGACGATGCAGGGCCAGCTGCGCCACATCGGCGACCTCGCGCGCGCGCAGCAAGCCGCGGGGTCCCACATCGAGGGCCTCCGCGACCGCGTCTCGACGATCCGCTCCCAGGCCGACGTGCTCCGCGACAAGCTCCGCGACCTCCGCCGGTCCCACGAGAACGCGCGCCGCGAGATGACGCGGCTCGGCGCCGCGCACGAGGCCGCGCGCGAGGCCGCCGCGCCGCGGCCCGGCGCGAGCCCGCCGTGCCCGCGACCGGCGGACGCGCCCTGGACGGCGCCGTGCACGACGTGGACGCGCGCGCCGGAACCCTAAGGGTCGCTGTCCAGTGCAACCCCAGGTCATGTCGTCGGCGCGGCGCGCTTTCAACGACAGGGACAATGCGGCTGGTCGCTATTGCACCCCGGCGTCGATTCACAATGTTAACTTCCGCAAATTGCCCCCCAACTCCGAAGTGAAACGGCACCATAATCGCGTTCCAGCTCCGTCGCGAGCTTGTCGTGCTCCTTGCGAAAGCCCTCGATCTCGCGGCGGTCGCTCTCGGCGAGCTCCTCGAGAGCGGCGCGCATTGCCACCCCGTAGTCTTCGACGGTCGCGTGTCGCCATCCGGAGGTCCCGGACTCGGAGGCGTCGCGCTGGCCCGGCGGGACCTCGGAACTGCCGCGCGCCGCCTCGTCTGTCCTATCGAGAATTTCGAGGACGGCCAACGCGCCGCTGAGGTCGGGATTTCCAAGAATTTTTCTCAGCTCAAGCATGCGATTACAACGCATTCGCGTCTGTTCAATTTCCGCTTTCGCTGCCGCCGCTTCCGCCAGCTTCTCGCGCTTGACCTTCATAAGGGAATCGTTCATTGCGTCTAGGATGAATTGCCCGAAACCGTTCCTCAGACGCTCGCCTCCGTCAGTCTCCCCGAGGTGCGTCGCCACGGACTGCATAAGGGTAACGTAGAGGTCCGCGATCTCTGGCTCGGACCATGCGTTGTCGAATTCCCCGGCTTGGCCCATCTTCTGCACGACGTCCAGGACGGCGCGCTTCACGACCGGTTCGGTCAATCCGGCCGACTCGGCCTGCTCGGCGTACTCGGACTTGAGCCTCGACAAGAAATCTCGCATTGCCTCTCCGATGACAGGCAGGAAGTCGTTCCTCAGACGCTCGCCTCCGTCCGACTCCCCGAGGTGCGTCGCAACGGCACTCACCAAGACGCCCAGGTGCTCTAACCCAGAACCTTTTTCCAAGTTGAGATCCCCGGCGAGGTGCATCTGCTCCGCGACCTCCATGAAGGCGCGCTTCACGACCGCGTCGGTCAACGCCGCCGGCTCGGGCGCGACGCCCTCACCCCGGGTTCGTCGTAGGGCTTCCGTCAAGAGCTGCTCCGCCTTCTCCGAACTGTGACCCTCTGCGACAGTTTTATTAAAGGTGCGCAGCATTTCTGGTGTGTATCGGTCGATGAGGTGCTCCGGTAGGCTTACATTTCGTAAGGCGCGCCGCACGATCGCCTCGGCGCTCATCGCGCGCTGCGTCGTCGAGGTTTCAGAGCTCGATGCGGGGCGGCGCGCACCTCGTCCTCGCCTCCCCATCACGGCGCCGGGGCTGCACCGTCTGGTAAATGTTGACCCCGCCCAATGTTGAGGACCTCGGCTAACACGATGGGAGTCCGAAGACGTTGAGGCCTGAGCCGCTACAAACAACAAGAAGATGAGCGCCTTCTGGCTCGTCTTCTACTCACTAAAATTCGGATTCCAGCTCCTCGAGCTCGCGCTCTGCGTCGCCTTCGCGGCGCTCTTCTTCGCCTACCACCAGCGGCGGGAGCTCGCGACGGCCTGGGTGCAGTGGTTCTTCGGGCTCGAGGCGCTGATCCGCGGCGACGCGCAGATCCAGGTCGAGTGGCGCGGCGCCGACGACCTCGCCGACGGCGACGCCGACACACTCGGCCGCTTCCTCCGGCTCGCGCGCGCGCGGCTCGCCGACGGCGAGTTCCCCGTCGAGCGGCTCACGTGCCGCGCGCGCGACGTCGTCCTCTTCGCGCCCGGGTCGAACCGGCAGGAGGAGGCCGTCGTCGCCGACGTGCTCGTGCTGCGCGCGCGCTTCCCGCCGAAGGACGCGCCGCCCGAGGACGGCGACCCCCGGGGCGAGGCGTTCTGTGCTCTCGGCGTGTCGCTGCACACGGCGCGCGTGCGCGTCGTGTCCTACGACGGCGGCCTGAGCGACACGTCGCTCGCGCGCGTGCAGAAGGCCGTCAAGGAGGCCTTCGACGCGCGGAGGCGCGGCGCGCGCGCGCTCACGCCCGAGGAGGCGCGGCGCGCGGACGAGATCAAAAGGAGGGACGACGTCGTCGCGGCCGTCGTCGTCACGGACCGCCGCGGCAACTTCGTCGCCCAGCCCTACGAGCGGGCGGAGCTCGCGCACTACGAGTTCGCCACGGCGACGCCCGTCTACGCGTGCGTGCTCTTCGAGCGGCGACGAGACGGCTGGCGGGCGACGGCGACGTACGGTCTCGACTACGCCTGCGAGCGCATCAAGCGCAAGGCGCGGGAGCGCGGCGGCCCGCTGGAGCGGTTCCGAGAAACAGAAACGCCCGCGGCGTCCCAGGACGAGATCCGCCGCCTCTTCGGCGCGCGCTGGTGCAAGACGGAGTCGGTGACCGTCGGCCACCTCCGGGTCAAGGCCTACGACGGCGCGGGCCGCGCGCTGAGCGGCCACGAGGCGACGCTGAGCCACATGATTTTAGAGCCGTCCGAGCTCGCGACGCGCCTCGGCGCGTTCAGCGCCCTGAACCGCATCGCGATCAAGGCGCTCGCGTCGACGGGCATGGACGCGCTCAAATCGGGCGTCGCGTCCGCGGCGTCCGTGCTGGACCAGGGCGTCGAGGACCTGCAGCACGCGGGCGCGCGCGCCGGCGGCGCTCTGGGCGGGCCCGCGGAGATGCTCGTCCTGGGCACGACGGACGCCGCGCGGAGCGTCGTCCACGGCGCCGTCGACGGCGCCGTCCAGGGCAGGACAAGAGAGCGAAATTCCCAACTTCAAAGGCTCCTTTCTCGGCCGTTTTCCACTCGTTTCGGCTGATTTTTGGACGAGCGATCATCTCTCGGAACGGTCTCGAAGCGTGGATGCTTTTTCCGGAACGCGCGCGCGCGGAACACTCACGTTGAAGCGACGTTGAATCTCTCTTGTCCTGCCCAGGCGCCGTCGAGATCACGTCGGGCATCGCGCTCGGCGGCAAGCTCGCGGTCACCGGTCTGATCCACTCGGCGCAGGACGGCGACCCGGGCCGCTTCGCGACGTCGCTCGTGCGCGCGTCCGACGAGGCCGTGTCCGGCGTGCTCCAGGGCGTCGCCGTCGCCGCGGACGGCGTCCACGACGGCTTCGGCGCCGTGCTCGACGGCGTCGCGGCGGGCGTCGAGTACGCGCCCGTCGTCGGCGACGTGCTCGGCGGCTTCGTCGGCGCGGGCAAGCATGTGGTGGGCGGCGTCTTCGGGGCCGCGCGCGGCGCGGCGACGGGCGTCGCGAGGGGAGCGGGCGCGTTCGCGCGCGCGACGCTGCTCGACGGCGACCCCCTGAAGGGCGTCGCCGACGGCGGCCGCGTGTTGGGCCGGGATTTGGTCGGCGCCGCCCACGACCTGTCGGGCGGCCTCTACGCGGCGTCGGAGGACGTCTACACCTGTGCCGAATTCAACCACTGGTTTGGGTGGTCCGGACCAAACTTGAGAATTCTCTAGCTCGATCACATCGAAGTCGATTCGGCTGATTTTTGGACGAATCGATTGCTCTCGTCGAGTTCTCGAAGCACAGCCGAAGAGCTTGCGTCGAAACTGTCGCATATGCGCACATTGAAGTCGGGTTGAAGATTTGAATTCCACACAGGTCTACACGGGCGCGGCGCGAGGCGCGGACCGCGCGGTCCGGGGCCTCGGCCTCGACCAGCTCGGGTCGCGGCCGCCGGAGCCGCCGCCGCCGCCGCCGCCGCCGCCCGAGGAGGAGGTGTATGATATCGAGATCGAGACGCCGGCGACGAGCCGCCGCAGCTCCGTGCGGAACCGGGCCAAGGCGCGCCGCACGTCGCTGACGATCCAGGCCGCGCTCGGCAACGGCCGCTGCGGCGACGACGCCGACGCGCCGGAGACGTTCCGGGACCGCCTGGTGCGCTACGACTCGGAGAAGCCCAACACGACTAATATTTAGCCTTCAGATGACGGGCTCCTTGCGCTGCTTGGCCGCGGCGGCGCCGTTCGCGAGCGCCACGACCTCCACGGCGCCCAGCCCCCGCCCCCGCCGCTTCTTCGCGGCGGCGGCGAGGAGCCGCGAGTGCGTCGGCGTGAGGCCTGTGTCGCTCAAGCCCAGCCATCGCAATTTCGGCGCCTGGCCCGCGCCTAAAGCCCGGGCCGCGGCGACGAAGACGTCGACGTCGGGCGCGGACAGCCCCAGGCCGCCGTCGCCGGCGGCCGGCGGCAGGGCCTTGGAGGCCATCTTCGACAGGGCGCCGACGAGGGCGTGCTCGCCCTTCTTCCTCCGCCGCTCGACCTCCGCGGTCGTGAGCGCGTTGCCCGAGAGGTCCAAAACCTCCAAACGCGCGCCCTTGCGCGCGGCCGCGGACAGGATCAGGTCCGCGGCGCCGGGCCCGAGGCCGCAGTGCGCCAGGCCCAGCGCCTCCAGGCGCTCGTTCTTCCGCAGCGCCCGCGGGACCAGCGTCGCGTCGTCGTCGCCGAGCGCGTTGCGCCGCGCGTCGAGCCGCGCGACGGCCGGCGACGCCGCGAGCGCCGCCACCCCCCGCCCGCCGAGCTCGTTGCCCGACACGTCCACGGCGACGGGCGCGCTGCCCGGCGGCCGCTTCGCCAGCGCCCGCGCGAGGGCCACCGCGCCCGCGTCGCCGCAGGCGGTTTGCGCCAGATCGATCTCTGCGAGCGCCGGCGATATGGCCACGAGCTTCGCCGCCACCGCCGCGACGCCGCCGTCGCAGAGACAATTGCCCCGGAGGCTGAGGCGCGCCAGCGTCGGCGCGTGGGGCGCCAGGGCCCGGCAGAGGGCCTCCGCGCCCGCGGGCCCGAGGCCGACGCGTTCGACTTCCACCCTCGCCAGGGACGCGTGCGACGCGTTGGCCTTCTTCAGCCGCTTCGCCGCCCGCACGAAGGCCGCGTCGCCGACGAGGTCCGACGCGACGCGCAGCCGCCGGAGGCCCGGGCTCGAAAGCGCCGCCACTAAGACCTTCTCGAAGCCGCCGGCGCCCAGATCGCAGTCGACGACGCTCAGGTCCGTCGCGCCGTCGACGAGCGCCGCGAGCGCCGCGCCGCCGTCGGCCCCGAGCAGGGCCTCCTGGCAGGCCACGTGGCGCGTCGTCGCGTCGGCGGCCGCGGCGTCGTCGGCCGCGTCCGCGGTCGCGAACGCCTCCCGATGCGCGTACTCGCCGAGCGCGCTCGCGAGGCGCGCGGCGACGAGCGCCGCCTCCCTTTCGCGCGTCTCCCGTTCCACCGCCGCGGCGGCGGCCGCCGCCGCCTCGGCGAGCGCCGCCGCGCGCGCCCGCAGCGCCGCGGCGTCGGCGGCGACGAAGCGGAAGTCGAGCGTCTCGTCGCAGCCGTCGCCGAAGGCGGGCGGCGGATGCAGCACGGAGTGGACGTAGAGCGGCGACGGCGGCGGCGGGGTCTTTGCAATGCTGAGCACGAGCAACAGGGCGCCTTGAACAAGGCGACGCGCCAACATGCTCGCCGCTCCGCCGGCACTTGGCCGATGCTGCAGGGGCGTTGAGCTTTTTCCATCCGCTGCCCGCTCGATAAGATGGCTCGAAGACATGCTTCCCGCAGCGCCGGCGGCGAGCTCGTCGTCGCCGCGGCGGCCCTCGCGCTGCCCGCGCTCGTCATCGCGTCGGGCTTCTCCTCGACGCGACACCGCCGCGCCGGCGCCGCCATCGCCCCCGCGTGGGAGCTCTGCGTGCCCGACGGCTGCCCCGTCGAGTTCACGAACGACACGCACGCCTACCCCTGGCTCGCGTCGACCGTGAGCCTCGTCTTCCTCGGCGCCGTCGCGGGCCTCTACTTCATCACCGGCTCCGAGTGGCAGAACCAGATCGTCCGCGTGCGGCCCGGCTCCGAGGGCGGCGGCTGACAGCCGAGCGACCTATCGTAAAAAAACACAGCGTTACCACGTCACCAGCAGCCCCGCGCGCTCGACGAGGACCGCGCGGCGGCCCGGGTTTCGGGCGTCGTCGCCGAGGTAGGCGGGCCCCAGGGCGACGCCGTGGACGGCCGCGGCGACGCGGAGCACGTCCCGGGGCCCGCCCGCGGCGCCGAGGGCGGCGCGCAGGTCCGCGGCGTTGCCGAGGCGCGTCGCGCCGGCGACAGCCGCGGCGAGGCGCGCGGCGCGCGTCGCCGGGTCGTCGGCCGCCCGCCGCGTCGCCGCGTCGCGCGCCGCGGCGACGCCGCGGCTCGCGCCGCGCGCGTTCGCGGCGTCGACGGCGGCCCCGAGGTGGTCGTCGCGGAGCGCGCGGTTGAAGGCGAAGAGCCAGCACTTGCAGACCGCGCGGACGGCGCCGCCGCAGAGGTCCGCGCGGACGTCGAGGCGCGCCGCGAGGCACCGGAGCGCCTCCTGGGGCCAGAGCGGCGTCCGCGGCGCCGCGGCGCCGAGGGAGTAGAGCACGACGTTGCGCCCGACGAGCGCGAGCTCCGCCGTCGCGCAGGCCGCGCCGAGCGCCTCCGCGCGTTTCCGCAGGTAGTCGAGGTAGACGCTCTGGACCTTGACGCCCTTGGCGCGGCCCTCCGGGTCGAACTGCCAGAACTGGCGCCGGTGGGGGAACTTGGACGTGAACATGCAGCAGGGCACGACGGCGAAGGGCAGGCCCCGCTTCGCGGCCGCGCAGACCGCCGCCTCGGTGGCTTCGTCCGGGTGGAGCGCGACGACGGCGCTCGCCGCGTCGAGCGCGGCCTCGACGGCGGCCGACGACCGCGGGTACAGAAAGAGGTCCGGCACGTGCGCCACGCGCCGGAACGCGGCGTCCTCCACGGCGGCGTCGTCGTCGTCGTCGTCGCCGTCGTCGCCGTCCTCGTGCGACGCGCGGCTCGTCCGCGTCGACGGCTCGACGACCGTCGCGGCTCGCGCCGCGCCCCGCCGCAGTAGCGCCGCGGCGAGGTCGCCGCGGCCGCCCGCGACGTCGAGGACCGTTTCCAAGCGGTCGCGGCCGAGCGTCCGCTCGAGCCACGCCGCGAAGACGGCCGCGCGGAACTTCTTCGGCGCCACGGCCGCCGCGGCCGCCTCCGCCTCCGCCGCCGGCGCGACGGTGCCGAGGTAGGTCCGCACGCGCGCGACGCGCCGCCCGCTCCGCGACCGCTTCGCCTCGACGACGAGGTCTCCGAACGCGTGCCAGCCGCCGGCCTCCGGCCGCCTCGCCGCGAAGCGCTTCGCGAGCGCCTCGCCGCAGCAGACGACGTCGAGCTCCTCGCCGACGGCCACGCCGCCGGCCGCGGCGCCGAAGACCCGCTCCACGCGGCACCAGGCGATGGTCAACTTCTTGCCGAGCTTGCGCCGGCTCTTCGCGCTGACGACGACCGTGCGCCGCTCGTGGAACTCGCCGGGACCGACGTCGTGCGCCACGTCGATGGATAACTCCTCGAGCAACTGCAACGGATCGTGCAGCGATGCGACGGGCGCCGTCGAGGCGGCCGTCATCGCGCTCGCCTACGGCACTGCTGGCTTGTTTGACCTACAACATCCGATCCAAAACCCGACTCGGGGTGGCAGGAAATCATTCGAAGGGCAGCCTCCCGGCCTTCCCTCAGCCTCCCGGGCGTCGCGCCGCAAGGATGCCGTCCGCCCCGCCGATCATCGACGGCGTGCTGGCGCGGAAGGACCACCGCGGCACCTGGGCGAAGCGCTACTTCCGGACCCACAAGTACAACCTCAACTACTACACGTCGAACCTGTCGGCCATCGAGAAGTCCTTCGACGCGTCCGGCGAGCACTTCAAGTACAGGGCCATCGGGTCCCCGACGGAGGTCTTCCGCCTCGAGCTCCTCCTCAAGGTCGAGAAGCGCGAGGGCAACGTCTTCTACTTCGAGATCGAGGACCCGGACGACGACGAGATCGAGGAGTTCGAGCTCCGCTGCTCCGACGAGAAGGCCGCGGCGCGCTGGGCCGAGGCCATCGAGGAGCTCGCGAAGCGCGCCAACGAGGACAAGCTCCGCATCGGCACGCTCCACATCGAGGTCGACGGCGGCTTCCTGATCGGCAAGCACGCGGCGCGGAGCCCGACGGTGCGTTTAGAGCTCGACTTCCCGGCCAGGGACGCCATCGACGTCGTCCCCGAGGTCGCCGCCACGTCCGAGGACGCGACCTCGAAGGTCGACGCGGACCTGCTCTACGAGAACCTGGACGAGGCCGACGACGCGGTCGCGCGGTGCCCCGCGCTGCGTTTGGACGCCCATTTACCGTGCCACGCGTCGTCCGCCAAGTTCGTCTTGGCGCTCGTCGAGGACGCCGAGGCCCACGCCGCGGCGACGTCGCCCGAGGTGACGGGCGAGCGGAGCCCGACGGAGCGCCTGCTGGGCGCGGACCTGTCCTGCGCGGACCAGAGTGCGCTCGCGGACGCGCAGCATAGCTTCCACTCCGCGATCGGGAAGCACGTCTACGGCGATTCGCTCGAGGCGTCGCGCGTCGCGCCGGAGGACGACGCCGAGGCGGAGCCCGCGAAGCTCCAGGGGGTCGTGTTGGCGAAGCGCGTCGGCCACCTCTTCGAGTTGCAGGAGCAGCGCGCGATCTGGGTCTCGCAGATGGTCGGGAGCCTGCCGGAGGCGTCGGGCTTCGGCCGCTCCGCGATCGACGGCGGCCGCGAGAACGACCAGGTCGGCCCCGACGGCTCCAAGCCGTCGAAGCCGGGCTACAAGTGGTACGCGCTCCTCGACGACAAGGGCGAGAAGGTCGCCGCCGGGGCGGGACACGGGCGCGAACTTCCCAACTCCAAAGGCTCCGAGCTCGGCCGTGTTCCACTCGTTTCGGCTGATGTTTGGACGAGCGATCATCCCTCGGAGCGCCCGCGACGCGTGGATGCGTTTTCTGGAACGCGCGCGCGCGGCACATTCATGTTGAAGCGAGGTTGAACCACCCGCGCAGGTCGCCGCGGTGCTCCACGCGCACGTGTGGTTCGCCGAGGACCCCATCGCCGTCGTCGACGGCGCGCTCGAGCGGCTCGAGTGCCCGGACCACGAGTCCGCGGGTTTTGATACGGCCGTGCTCCAGAGCGCCATCGACCGCGCGTCGACGGTGCTGGCGTCCATGCAGCTCATCGGCAAGGCGCTCGACGACTTCACGCACTGGGTCGAGCCGAAGAAGACGGCCGCGATCTACGCGCTCATGGTCTACCTGGCCTGGCGCTGGCCCCACGCGGGCATGGCCTACTTCCCCGTGGGCATGCTGCTGCCCATCCTCTACGCGGCGCCGCCGCGCGTGCGCCGCGCGCTGGGAAAGCCGTCGGAGGCGGAGTCCTCCGCGGACGGCCGCGGCGTCGCGACGTGCCGCGTGGCCGTGCTCGAGGCGCGGGGGCTCGCCGCCGCCGACGACAACATCACGACGGAGGCGTCGTCGGACCCCTACGTCGCCATCGTCACCGCGCCCGGCGAGCCGCCGCCGGAGGTCGCGGAGGCGCGGACGCCGACGCTCGTCGGCGTCACCGAGTCCATCTACGGCACGCTGGCGCCCGTCTGGGACGCGGGCCAGGTCGAGGAGGCGGCCGACGGGGGCGACCGGGACAAGCAGGAGACCTGCTTCCTCGCGCCGTCGCTGAGTTTGCAGAACATGGGGCTCTCGTCGTCGGGCTCGCCGGACGCGTGCCACATCTCCTCGCACGCGATCCACCACATCGGCGACCGCCGCCTGGGCAAGTGCGCCCGGCCCAGCATCGACTTCCGCAGCGCCTGGGACCTCGACGACGGCCGCACCTTCGCGCGCGCGGCCTGGCGGATCCCCGTGCTGCAGACGACGGACCACGAAACCGGCGAGCCCACGCCCTGGGACAAGAACCCGGACTGCCTCGATTTGGAGGTCTTCGACGAAGATTTGGCGAGCGCCGACGACTTCATGGGCAAGGTGCGCCTGAAGATTTCGGATTTGGCGGACGGCCAGGTCCGCGAGGCCTGGTTCGCGCTGGGCAAGAGCGACGGCGCCAAGGACGCGGCGATCGTCGCGGACGTGCTCAAGGACGCGGCCCCGGACTGCGAGGAGCCCCTGGGCGCCATCAAGATCCGCGTCCAGCTCGAGACGGACCCGGGCCACCTGAAGCCCCCCGACGCCGCGGAGATGAAGCTGATCACGTCGCTGCTCGAGACGACGGTGAACCGCTACGAGGACGCGGACGCCAAGGAGTCCGGCGCCAAGGGCATGATGGCCCAGTACGACGAGATGATGCTGATGATGAAGCGGACGCAGAACTCGGCGCTCAACGCCGTCGGGAAGCTCGAGCGCATCTTTGGATTGCTGACCTGGGAGCACCCGATCAAGACGGGCGGCTTCGTCGCGGGGCTCATCTTCGGCATCTTCTACTGCGTCTACGTGCCGTCGTCCTGGGTCATGGTCTCCGCCTTCACCTACGAGCTGGCGAACCAGGGGTCCATCCTCCTCTCCCTCAAGCCCGGCGAGGTCCACAAGGACCACATGATCGGCAACACGATCGCGTCGCTGCCGTCGACGGTGCAGAAGACCAAGGCCCTCGCGGTGAAGAACAAGTTCGCCGCGGCCCAGGACAAGCGCCTCAGCGACGACCTGCGGCTCCACCTGCGCCTGGGCTACGGCACCATCGACTTCCAGAAGCTCATCTACTCGTGGAACGACAAGAAGAAGCACTGGTCGAAGCACTACGTCGTCATCAACGGCCACAACCTCTACGTCTGGAAGTCGGCCAAGGCGGCGCTCGAGAACCACGCGCCCATCATCCGGCTGACCTGCTCGAAGCCCGTGCAGCAGCACTCGCCCAAGGAGGACTCGAACCTCCTCGACGCGCTCGTGCCGCACCTCCTCAAGTCCATCCCCTCCAAGGCGCTCACGGTCCTCACGGTGCCCGCGACGCCGCACACGCACTACCTCGCGGACCACCTCCCGCCGGGCGCCGCGGCCCACCCCATCACCGCCGCCGTCCAGAAGGCGCTCGAGGCGACGGAGACGAAGCGCGTCAAGCGCGCCGAGAGCCGCGCGTCGATGATCGCCTCCACGGCCGACCACCCCGCGGACCTCACGAACGAGCAGCACTTCGACGCGCCGGCGTCGCCCACGGTCCAGGACAAGGCCAAGGCCGTCGCGGGCGCCCACCGCCGCGCGTCGCTCAACAAGGCCGAGGCCAAGGCCGCCGACGCTTGACGCGACGGCGGATTGTGAGTTTCGGTCCCCTCCCGTTAACATTTTTATGTCTCCACGAGGACCGCGGGCGCCGTCTTGATGGTCTGGGACCCCTTGTGGCAGGGGCAGCCGGGGCAGAGCACGCAGCAGGCGACGATGCCGCCCGTGACGCAGACGAAGAACACGGCGAGCGTCGTCAGCACGGCGACGAGGATGGACTTCTTCTCCTTCTTCGTGAGGCCCTCCTCCTGACAGTAGCCCCAGGAGTCGCCGCACTTGGGGTATTCGGAGGTCGTGTCGCAGCACCAGTACAAGCCGTTCTCCTCGCAGAGCTTGTAGGGGTCGCCGCAGAGCTCGGGCGTGCAGGTCCGGTCGCCCGCGTCGGCGACGCCGGTGGGCAACGCGCAGACGATCGAGACGTCTTCCGTGTGGACGCAGTTGGAGACGCCCCAGCCGCTGTGGTCGCAGTCCGAGAGGCGCGCCTCGCTTCCGTCGCACTCGACGTCGTCGAGGTGGATGGGCACCGAGACGTCCATCTCGTCGTAGCACGACCCGGAGTCGCTCGTCCAAGATTCGAAGGACGTGCCGGCGAGCTGCTGGCAGACGACCTCGGCCGCCTCGTCGGAGAAGGGCCAGTCGTCGCAGACCGTGCCCCATTCGCCGTCGAACCACACCTGCAGGATGCCGTCGTAGGCCGTGATGCCGCCGACGAGCTGGACGTCGCCGCGCGGGGTCGTCGGTGGGCTCGTCGGCGGCAGGGCCGGCGCCGCAGTAGGCGTCGTTGACGACGCGAGGATCGGCAGGAACAACAGACACGATAGCGCTGCCAGCATCGTCTTCTGCGCTAACACCATCGACTCAGAAGAGCTTCACCTTTGGCTTCGGGCAGCCTTGGCTGCGCAGCTGCGGTCAGCAGCATGGCCGCGTGAGGAAACGATAGTTTATGGCCGGGCGGCCGCAGCCGCCGCCGCGGTCGCCGCACGACGACGACGACGACGACTGGTTCCTCGCGGCGCCGGACAAGCGCTTTCGAGACGTCGGCGTGCTCGCAGCGATCTTCGTTATCATCGTCATCCTGCTCGGCCACGGCCGGACGCTCCGGACGTGGCACGACGATCACCGGGCGCGCGGCGGGAACAAGACGCTGCGGCTCTTCGTCTGCATCCAGTGCGCGCATCTCATGTGGGTGCTGCACCTCGGCCTCACGGCCGCGCGCGGCGTCGCGACGCTCTCGACGGGCCACAACTGGATCTTCGGCCGGCTCGCCTGCGAGGCCGCGGCGCGGCTCGTGAGCTCGCTCTACACGAGCGGCTACGCGCTGCTCGGCGGCTTCTTCCGCTGGAAGTTCGCGGCGTCGCGGAGCCGCGCGGCCGCGAAGACGCGCGCGGAGCGATGGCTCGTAAAATTCGCGGACGCGTGCCTCTGCGGCTTCGCGGCCTGCGTCGCCTGCTGGATCGTCAACCCCTTCTCGGACCGCGCGGCGGACAACGGCCCCCGCGAGTGCGGGCTGAAGCGCGACTTCTGGTTCGCGAGCTTCGTCGGGACCGGCTACGTCCTGTGGATGGGCGTCTCCGGCTCGCTCCTCTTCCTCTTCCTCAACCCGCTGCTGGAGTCCGTGCGCAAGGCCGACGAGCGGAGCGGCGTCCAGAGCGACGAGCTGCTCCGAGCGGTCGTGCGGCGGAACTTCGAATGCTTCGCGGTGTCCTTCGTGTCCGGCGTCGTCGTCGCGTCGGCGATCGTGCTCGAGAGCGTCCTCGTCGAGGACGACAAGACGTCGCGGGGCCTCGCGACGTGCTCGACGCTCGGGCCGGCGCTCGACATGTACGTCAACAGCGCCTGCGCGCTCCACAGCCTGAACCTCCAGTTCGCGGGCGGCGGTGCCGTCGACCGCGCGAAGCTCTGGTGGCGCGGCGGCGACGGCGACGGCCGCGGCTCCCTCGCCTGGGCGGCGCGGTCGACGCGCGCGTCCGCGGGGCGCCGGAGCTCCTGGAAGCTCATGGGCGCGTCGCGGCTCCGGCGGCAGCGGCCCTTCCCGCTCCGCTTCTCGCGGCACGCGTCCGCGCTCGAGCTCGCGCGCGCGTCGGAGCGGGTATCGGAGCGCGCGTCCGAGGCCGCGGCGCCGCCCGAGGCGCCGGACCCTGTAGTGTGACTTATGTCAATCAATCGTCGAGGTAGCGCGCGGCGCGGCCGCCGACGGCCGCGGGCGTCCGCGCGAGGCTCAGCGTCCGCGCGAGGTCCTCGGGCTCGAGGTCGCGGGGGCGGCCGTCGGCGAGCACGGGCACGGCCCACGTCGCCAGATCCGCGACCTTGCAGTCGACGACCTGGCCGACGGCCGTCTCGAAGGCGACGTCGTCGCCGTCGACGCGCAACACGTCGCCGGCGAGCGTCGTCACGTCGCCCGTCTCGGGGTCGACGTGCGCGACCAAGACGAGGCGGTCGCCCGGCGCGACGGACGGCGGCGGCGCGAGGCCGTGGGCCGCGAGGAGCGCGTCGCGCGCGTCGTGCTGAGACGCGCGCCGCGCGACCCGGGCCGCGGCGATGGTGTCGCCGACGACGGACACCGCGTCGCCGCCCGCGCGCCGCAGGTCCTGGAACAGGGCCTCGAGGCGCCGCTCGCGCGCCTCGATGTTCTTCCGCGCGCGCGTCGCCCGCTTCAACGCGTCCGCCGTCGCCTTCGCGAGCTCGCGGCGCGCGGCCTCCGCCGCCGACTCCGCGTCGCGCCGCGCGTCCAACGCCGCGGCCTCGGCGCGCTCCGCGTCGCGCCGCGCGCCGTCGAGCGCCGCCCAGAGCTCGTCGGAGACCTCCGCGGGCGGCGCGGCGGGCCCCGCGTCTAAAATCGCCCGCGCCCGGTCGAGCACGGCGTCGGGCACGCCGCAGCGCGACGCCGCCGCGAGCGCGTCGGACCGGCCCGGCGCGCCGGCCACCGCGTCGAACGTCGGCGATCCCGAGCCGTCGACGCGGAACGCGAGCGACGCGAAGCCCGGCTCGCCGGCGAGCGCCTTGAGCGCGCCGTGGTGCGTCGCGCAGACCGCCGCGCCGCCCCGCTCCGAGAGCTTCTCGAGCGTCGCGCGCGCGACCGCGGCGCCCTCGGCGTGGTCCGTGCCGCCGCCGAGCTCGTCCATGATCACGAGGCACCCCGGCCGCCGCGCCGCGGCCGCGACGAACCGCAGGTGCGCCTCGTAGGTGCTGTTTCCCGGGAACGCGGCCCGGCTCGACCCGTCGACGTCCGCGAGGACCGCGGGAAAGACGGGGACGTTCGCCTTTCTCGCGGGCACGTCGACGCCCGCGGCCGCCAGGAGCGCCAAGAGGCCAAAGGTCTTAAGCGCGACGGTCTTGCCGCCGCCGTTGGGCCCGGAGACGACCGTCGCCGTCCCCCGCGCTAACGCCGCGGACCGCAGCGGCCGGCAGTCGCCGCGGAGCGCCAACAGCGGGTGCCGCGCGTCAAAGAGCTCGAGCGACTCCGCGCGCACGTCCGCCGGCGCGCCGCGCCACGCGTCCCCCAGGTCCGCCCGCGCCAGGGCGCAGTCCACGGCCGCCAGGCTCTCGAGGCACGCGCGCAGCGGCGCGGCCCGCGCGCCGAGGCCCGCGGTTAGCTCGCGGAGCCGCGCGGTTTCCGCGGCGGCGGCGTCGCGCTCCGCGGCTCGCACGGCGTCCGCGGCCGCCGCGCAGGCCGCGGGCTCGACGTAGGACGACTTGCCGCTCCGCGACGCGCCGACCTTGCGCCCGAGCTTCTTCGGCGGCGTCGCGCCGGCGACGCTGACGACGTACGTGTGCTTCTCGAGTTCGAAGAGCTGCGGGTCCTCGACCCTCCGTTCCGCGACGGCGGCCGCGAGCTTCCGCTGCGCCGCGGCGACGCGCTTGCGCGCGGCGCGCAGCGGCGCGCAGGACGCGTCGTCGAGCACGGGCACGCGCGCGCCGTCCTCGACCTCGAAGGCGCGCGCGAGGTCGAGGCAGACCGCGGACTCTCTGTGGGACACGAGGTCGCGGCACAGCGGGCCGAGCGCGTTTTCGATGCCCGCAGCCCACGCGCCCGCGGCGTCGACGGCCGCCGTCGCGTCCGCGGCGGCGACGAGGGCAGACGCGTCCAGCGCCTCGCCGTCGGCCGCGGCGTCGAGGACGGCGTCGTCGAGGCTCGCGCCGACGAAGCCTTCGAGTTTGTGCTTCGCCGCGCGCGCCGCCGCCGCCGTCGCGTAGAGCGCCTCGGCGTCCGCGGCGCTCGTCGCGAAGTGCGCCGACGCGTCGCCGCGGAAGCGCTCGCGGCCGCGGCCGCCGCGGCAGCGCGCCTCCAGGGCCGCCATGATGTCGCCGCCGCCGAGGGCCGCGAAGGACGCGTCCGCGAGGGATCCGGCGGCGCCGAGGTGCGCCGTTCGCGGTTGCAGCGCGGATGCTGCTGCGAACAGGAGCAGCGTCATTGCGGGGCGCCGAAGAAGCATGATGCCTGAAAACACCTCACATCGACTGAGCTCGGCAATCTTCAACTTGACATGCAAGAAGCAAACGCTTACCCGGCGTGCAATTCGGTCTTGACCGAAGTTTGCGCATCATCTGATGCCGCGTCGTCGTCCGATCGCGTCGCGCGCCTGAGCCAACACAGAAACTCACCACCAACCTTCCACGCAACACAGCACACACCCAGGGGCTGCCCCTAGACTCCTCCCGATGGAGGTCTTCGTGGCGACGTGGAACGTGGGGAACACCATGGTCGAGCCGCACGAGATCGACGAGTGGCTGCGGGGCGCGACGCGGGACGCGAGCGTCGTCGTCATCGCGCTCCAGGAGGCCCATTATATTACGGACGAGGGCCGGGAGCGCATCGAGGCGCGCGCGGCCGCGACGTCCGTCGTCGCGGGGTCCTGGTTGTGCTGCGCGGGCTGCCTCATGGCCGTGCCGTTGCTCTGGGACCGGCGGAAGAAGCGGCGCGAGCGGAAGAAGCGGGAGCGCATGGAGCGGGAGCTCGCGCTCAACCCGGCGCTCAAGGCGAGCCAGCGGAAGGCCTTGGTGTGCGTCGACGTCGTCACGCGGCTCGTCGACTGCCTCGAGAACCGCGGCTTCGCCTACGCCGAGGGCGCGTCCTGCAAGTGGGGCCAGATGCGTTTGTTGATTTTTCACAAGGAGGCCCTCGTGTCCCTGGAGCCCCTCGCCACGGCCGTCGCGCGGACGGGCGGCAAGGTGACGAACAACGACATGCACACGGGCGTGCTCGGCAACAAGGGCGGCCTCATCTCGTCCTTCGCCGTGGCCCCGGCGCGGGCCCGGGGCGCGGGGGACCACATCGAGGCCGTGCTGCTCCACGGCGCCGGCGCGGCCATGAAGCGGCGGAAGATCACGGCCGTGGGCGTGCACCTGCCGGCGCACGAGGGCGACCAGTTCCTCGCGGACCGCCGCGAGGCCCTGGCGACGATCCTCCAGAAGGCGCGGGACGACGCGGCCATGGACGACGCGGACCTGGCCGTGCTCACGGGCGACATGAACTTCCGGCTGACCGGGGACCTCGAGTCGAAGAGCGTGGCGGACGACGTCAAGAACGGGGACTACGCGAAGCACTACGCCGCCGACGAGCTCGCCCGGGACCACTCCTCGGCGGAGTCCGTCGTCGCCGGCTGGGAGCTGCCCCGCTGCGACTTCCCGCCGACCTTCAAGGTGAAGCGCGGCGTCGTCGAGGAGACGTACAACCGGAAGCGCGTCCCCGCGTGGTGCGACCGCGTGCTCTACCGCACGGCCCTCGAGTCGCACCTCATCTCCTACGCGAGCCACCCGAAGCTCACGACGTCGGACCACAAGCCCGTGGCCCTCGCCCTCGACCTCCTCGGCGAGGCGCGGCCGGGCGGGGGGCCGCAGCGGCGGCCGTCGAACGGGTCCTCCGCGCCCTCGTCGCGGCGGTCGAGCCTCGACCCGGACGACGCGGTCACGAGCGACCTCGACATCCGCGTCTTCGAGCGGGCGCGGAGATAACAGGAGTCGGGGAGATCGTCTAGCCCGAGGCGGGCGCCTTCCGTGTCAGCCCGGTTCGGCGAGCTCAGGCAAAAGTGCTTTTGAAGGGCATGGCGCACGCGTCGGCGCGCGATGGAACCTTTTGCCCATGCTGTTTAGAGGATTGGGATGTGAACGGCCAACTTTTTGCGCACGTCTGTTGCATGCGGAAGATTTGCGGAACGTGCTCCGACAAACTCGCTCTCACCAATGCAGCGTGTCCTTTGTGTCGGGAACCGACCCCCGTTACCGACTCAGAGTTTCAGTCCTATATCCAAGCGCACGTGGAAAAGAGGTTCCGGAGGCCCTAAGCTACCTCGGAGAGCTGTTTGAGTACGGCGGTTTATCCGAAGAATGCGTGCGTTGCCGCGTTAGTGTACAAACGCGCCGTGGAACTCGGCGACGTGGACGCGAAGGTAAGACTTGCGATGCTGTTTCTTCGTGGCGAGGGTGTGACAGCGGACACCGAGAAGGCGCTGGAGCTCAATCGTCAAGCAGCAGCTCGTGGTCACAGTGTGGCGCAAATAAATGTGGCACACATTTTGTCGACAACTAGTGGCGACCGCGACGAGGTCTTCCGTTTCATAAAGCTCGCCGCAGATCAAGGCTTCACCGAGGCGGAAACCAAGCTGGCACAGTTCTTCGAAGACGGGTTTGGCGTCGAAAAGGACCTCGCGGAAGCAATGCGCTGGTACGCGCGCGCGGCCGCGAAGGGCGACGAGAAAGCCATCGCGGCGGTCGCGGAGCTCAAATCGCTTCAGCCTCCCGACTCGATCGCGACGCGAGTAGCGAAGCGCAAGCGGGCCTAGACGCGCTAAGAATCCGCCTCAAATGTCTGAACTTACGCGAAGTCGTCGTCGTCGCTGTCGCCGCCGACGTCCATGGGCGCGGCGGCCGGCGGCGGCGCGGCGGCGGCCGGCGGCGGCGCGTCGCCCGCCCCGGCGGCCGCCGCGAAGGGCGTCGCCGCGGCCGCGGCCGCGAGCGCGTCGTCGAAGTCCGGGAGCTCGTCGCGCTTCTCCTGGAGGTCG